CTCTCTCTCTCTCTCTTTCTTTCTTTCTCTTCTTTCTTTCTCTCGAATTTGCACCTAAATTTGCGAACGAATTTCAAAAAAAGTTTTAATAAACGCGACCTATATCATCATACCTGCGCCTGCGTAAAATTCTTCGTCCTCCTCTCTGTCATCATTTGCCTGTCACAGAAACCTTCAATACAGATTTTCCGCCATCGACATCGCACAACATAACATCTCCCTCACTTCGGGGAGATATACTTCGTACATTATTTAACATTGACTTTCGTTAATATTTGTATTTCTCGCGCGCACGCGACGCACACCGGAGACTCGGATTTACCATGGGACCACTCGCGACGGCTGAGGTAATTCATTCAACCGCTGCAGATTATAAATCACTTACCGCTCGTGTCCGTCCAGCAAGACAATCCCGAATGGCACACGGCCAATCCATTAGCGGGATCAAAACGCGCGGTTATTCGCGGCCACCTCCTTGCTCCGTGGCCGCGCGTATTAATCAGAACGTAATGCGACAGACGGAATAAGCGGAACGGTTATATTTATTCAATCTTAATTTATTAAGCAGAAACAATACCTCCGATTTTCAAAATCTTGTTGCTCTATCTCTCTCTCTCTCTCTCTCTCTCTCTCTCTCTCGCTCTCTCTCTCGGTCGAGAAACTAATAATAATAGAAAAAGAAACGAGATACTCTCGAGAGAGAATCGGAAAATCATGCCAATTCGAGCGTTGCGCTCAGTTCTGCAAAGGCCATCAATAAATACTATTGTTCTATTTATAAATGTATTTTTATATGACGATACAGAGTAAAGTCTAAAAATTATATGGGAAAAATAGTATGTGAAACACACGATAATATCACGCATCTCGGTGTCAGACATTAGTCGCGGAAACTTCCGGAACATCCGCTGGATGCTCCGGCGTTCACGGACGAGGGAGAAAAGTGGGACGAGGGGAGTAGAGACGAGAGAAGAGATTGTATTGCGTTTACGCGGGGCAAGGTGGAGGGGGGGGGGATAGTGGAAGAGCTTAGAACCACATCTCCATATTACAGTACGGTTGTGTAACGTCGCAAGTCGCGAAAGTACAGTAGTGTAAATTCAATTACATGTACACACACGCGTGCACACACACGCGTACGTACACACACACACACACACACACACACGCACGCACATACACACACACACACACACGCACAAACTCGCTGCTCATTTACCTTTAGTGGCTCGTATCGCCTTGCATATTTCGATCCACGGGTGCCCGTAGGAACTGCATACGTCACACACGTTAGTCGAGCTCGAGGATGGTTGTTGACTAGTTTGGTGCCCGGGTGTACTCGGCGACGACGAGCCCTCTCCTTTTGATTTGCACGTGGTCGACGACGACGACGAGAAGTGGAGGAAATCGACTGCTGAGGAAGGCGGGGACGCGGGCGCGCGTATCTTGCGCGACGACGGCAACGTTGCTGAGTTATACGACAGGTTCGACGAGGGTAGTGTGGTGGGCGACCGCTCCGACGACGGTGACTTCGACGCCGGCTGCTGGATCGAGCGGCAGGAGGGCGAGGACAGGCGCATACACCGTAAAAGGTTGAGTCAATCGTTAACCAATCCTTGAGAGACGCTGATCAGCTGCTCCTTTAAGACGCGGAAGGACGGTCGCACCTCGGGACAGTGCGCCCAACATTTGCGCATCACCTGAAAACCGCCAGGCAGAGAGAAAAAGAGAGAGAGAGAGAGAGAAGGTCCGTGTGCGCGGGTGTGTGAGGGATGCGCGCGAGGGATCCCGGCGAGCGAGGGGGCACACGGCGACTCACCTCGTACACTTCCTTGAAGCAGGCTTTCGGTCGTTCCAGTATGATCCCCCGCTGCACTCGCTCGACCACCTCCGTGTTCTTTAGGCGGCCGTAAGGCATCTTCCCGCACGTGAACACTTCCCACATGAGCACACCGTACGCCCACACGTCCGACTTCGAACTGAAGCGGGTGTAATTCAGCACCTCGGGCGGGGCCCACTTAATAGGGAATTTCGTGCCGCCGCTGCTGGTGTACTGATCGTCCAGCACGTACCTGAAAGGGCGATCGTTCGGTTAATTCAATCTCTCAGCTTTTCCTCGCATCGTCATGCTTGCTACCGCCGCGTTATCCCGTAAGGACAGACTCGTCGGGCAATCTGGAGTCGAGTATCCTCGGTAGGCTAGTTTTGCCTTTCCCAAGTATTCGTCCGTGAAGGACTCGTATTTTTTTTGCCGAAGGGAGACCGGACTCCAAGCCTTTGCCCAACGAACTCCCCCGGTGGCGAGCAACGGGCGACAGCAAAGGGTGCTGACTTGCCTGGCTAAACCAAAGTCTGCGACTTTCACTACGTTCTCCGATCCCACCAGACAATTACGCGCGGCAAGATCTCTGTGTATATAGTTATGCCTCTCTAAATACGCCATTCCTTTGCAAACCTGCGGGCATCGCAAGGTCTCGATCATCTATGCGCCGCGAGATTGAACGTCGCCGGTACGTACGGTCCCGTCGATTGCGCTCGACGGTGTTGACATTACCTGTATACACATGTCTAATAAGAGGCCAACGTTCGCGCCTAACGAGGCTTCGTGACGGCGGAGGTAGTTGAGGAGAGACCCGTGTCGCATGTACTCCGTGACGATGTATATCGGCCGATCTTTACTGCAGACGCCGTACAGTTGGACTAGGTTCTGATGTTGCAGTTTTCTGGAGACACGACACACACACACACACACATGCACACAGTGAGAGCGTAAGAAGATATCGCAACGGGACGAGCCCGAAAAGAATTCCATCGACAGGCGAAATTGCCTCCGTGCGGAAACACGACCGCCGACGACAAGAGACGCCGTGGGGTCGCTCTCGAATTAAACGGACTCCGGGTTGTCCGTGTCGAAAGCTTTTCTTTTTTTCGAACGTGGGCGTTAAAAGGAAACTGGGTTGAAACTTACGTCATTACTTTAGCTTCTTCTATAAAGTCGTCCTCGGACATGGTTCCCTCTTTCATCATTTTCACGGCAACGTCGATGGAGCCGCGCCACTTGCCTCGCCGCACAACTCCAAATTGGCCGGACCCGAGCTCCTCCAGTAAATGCAATTCCGCCGGGTCGATCTCCCATTTGTCTATGAAAAAAAAAAAAGCCGACCGTTAAGTGGCGCCAAGTAGCCGGGAAAAAGTTCTCTCTCCTCTTGCGTGTGCGCGCTTTCCTTTTTCTCTCTCCTCTTCCTGCCCCTCGCATATATTTTACACTTCGAGCGGAGGAAGAGGAGGGGGTAAAAGTTATTACGAACCATGACTGAGGCCGGCGGTTGGCGGTACAGGACGATCGCAGGGGCTGGTCTTCAGCCGACTGGCCAGTCCGCCGCTATTATGTCTATGGTAATTCACCAGATCGGGAATGGAGCCGCAGCAGTGCTTTTCCGAAAGATAAAACTCGCCGCGGGTGTTCTGTTTGATATGGTAATGCTTCACGTGGGGATGTGGTCTGTGACGGAAGAGAAAATCTCAGATTAACGGGAGAGAAAGAGAGAGAGAGGGAGAGCGGCTCGAGAGGGACGTTCGAGAGTGGCGGTGGAGGTGAAATTTGAAAAGACGGCTTTAAATCGCCGCCGGTCGGACCGGAAAAGGATGAAGCCGCGGGATTAGCCGGCGGTGAGACTTATGACTTACACTTTAGTGTAAAGGGAGAGTGTGTAGAGCCCTTTGGTCGAGGAATTACGGACGACGAAGCAACCCTCCTTGTCCTCCTGCTTCAGCAGCGATTCGGCACGCTGCCTCGACATATCGCCCACGTACCATCTACAACAACACGCAAAAGCGGCTTTTGCTGGTACCCTCGGCCGTTTTGTCAGACCTCACCGAGGCTCTTGGGATTGATTTGCGCGAGATATCTCGAAGGAATCTCCGTCCCCGGCGGACGACATCGCCGATAGCTGAGATGAGAAATAGGGAAGCTTCGCGGCATCGACTCGAAATGCGAAACGTTTTTTCGGTTACCCGGAATGAGGGGATAAGAGAGACGCATGCAGTGGGTGCAACGGACTCACTCGTATTTTTGCAGTCCCAGTAGCTCCTTCTCCTTGACGTAGTTGCTGGGAATATAGCCGATCGATCTGCAATTAAACGCATAAACGCGTCGTGTTGTGACACTTCGCGGCGGTTCCTCGCGAACTGCTCGCACCTCGACGCGTGAGCGAACAACCCCGGCGATTACGAATGATCATCGGCGATTACACCGCGAGCTAAGATCGCTGTTTCCGCGAGAGGACTACGTGACGTGGGAGCCTGATTATCGTTCGCCGTCGCCGCGACGTTTTTTTCACGCGCGGGGGAAGCAGAACGCGGGTAGGGTCGGCTCTGGGCGGTCGCGCGCGGAAAATCTCGAGAGAAGAAGCGCCCGTAAATTTCCACGCATTGCTGAGAGGAATCATACCCATTCTCGTCCTTAACTTTCCACCAGTGCTCCTGGGAGTCGTCCAAGACCTCATACTCCGCGCCCTGCGTGATCGTAAAAACACGGATCGTTAATAAAAGTTCCATTCGGCGCTGTAAGAAGGAGGATAACACCGTCCGGAAGAAAGCCACTCGTGCGCTCTCCGGGGCGGACGAATGCTGCTCACCTTCTCGAGAGACAAATCGCCGCCCTCGATCGCTCGGAAAGGATACAGAGCCACCACGACTTTCGCCCGCAGCATTATTTTCTCCTGCGGCAGAGAAATTAATCAACCCTTATCGCAAGAGATATCGGGGCAAAAACAGCGGAAATAACGCAGTAGTTGCGGTGCGCCAGTCTCTCTTTCTCTCTTTCTCTCACAACCGAGCACGGACGTACCTTCGCCTTAGAGGACGGTGTGCCTGGTGTGCCGCCTGGTATTATCGGAGTCGAGGGCGTTCCTGCAAAAAGAAGCAGAATCGGCTCCGTTACTTCCGAGTTCCATCCGTCACTCACATTCATTTATCATCTACCACTCCACTCCTCCGCTTTGTTAATCCGAACAATCGTCACGTTTATTACGTACGCGTAATGAGACTCGCGTTCGGCCGTTTCCCCGCGGCTGTACCGGCCGGGAACTCCCGGTGGAGTCCGTCAGGACGGCGTCGTGCACTCGAGCGCCCGGCAATTACCGTTCTATTGAGCGCGATCGCGGTCGAATTTCACCGGACGGCGGAGGAGCCGACGGCATTCCTCCTCGCGCGGCAACGATCCGCGAACTAAACGGGACATCTCCCCGGCTGACAAGTGCAGCACGCTGAATGACGGCATGAAACGGGCGAAGGACGATACCACGGGCCAGTCTCCACCCTGTCTAGACAAAATCAATGCGACCTCAACCTCCTAGCACCCCCACCAGCCATGGTCTCTTGCACCGTTCAACGTTCGCACGTGCACGCTCGGCGCGTGCACCCGCGCTGCGTGCGTGCGCCCCCCCCCCCCCCCCCCCCCCCCCCCCCC